ATAGGACATATATTGCAGCGATTATCAAACTGCATCATAAGGCAAGCCCTAACTTGGAATTTGGAAGGAAACGGAAAAAAGGAAGGCCAAAGAACACACCTCGTCGGGAATTGGGAGCAGACATAAAAAGGGTGAATAGCAACTGGAAATAAGTGTAAATGATTTCCCAGGACAGAGTTGGATGGAGAGTGCTAGTGGGCGGTCTATGCTCCTCCACAAGATGTAACAGGCGTAACTAGCGAACGAAGTAATTATATGTTCTTTATACGTAATTAGATCATGACTTTGTGTCCACTCCGACTAGGTACGTTGAACAGTTACTGCCAGTTCCAAACTTCAGTAAAAAGGAAAAGGGTAAGGTTAGAATTAGCTACCACGCACCATAGAAGGAGACCTCTAAAACAAACGCTAACCACAGTAAATAAATGAATCCATTTAAACTCAGTCCTCCGATTTGAAAGGCGTTCAAATAGAAGAGTTGTGATGCCTCATAATGAAATTCGAGATTCTAAAGTAGTCACCACAACAATAACCTCTCTCTCTATCTCTCTAAACAGACCAACAAATAATATAGGTACATGGAATGTCCACACGCATGAGTGAGACTGGCAGGATCACTCAATTAATCACAGAAATGAGAAGATACTAACTTATAGTGCTTGCAATAAGTAAAATTCATTGAATGTCATCTGAACAGAAAATACTAAATTCAGGAGAGTTTCTGTTGTATTCTGTTCACGAAGAAGAAAAAGAAGAAGGATTACAATGAATATGATTCAGTGCAATGTACCCACCAATGATCACAATGAGGATGGGAATGATCAGTTATGTGAGAGGCTGTAGTCGACCTTCAACAAATGTCCACGAAACGACCTGAATACTCTGTTAGGAGAATTGAACTCCGAGATAGGAGTGGATAACACTGGTTAGGACCAATTTAGAGAAGAAGAAGAAGAAGAAGAAGAAGAAGAAGGAGAAGAAGAAGAAGAAGAGGAAACCCCTAAGGAGAACAAGTTGGAAGGGAATAAATCAGCAATAATTCCGACATATCAGGAGTCATCGGGTCACGAGATGCCCCACCAGAATATAGGTCTGATCTCTGTAGATCACCTGTTTAGGATTCAATGAATGGAGAATAGGAAGACAGTTGTGAGTAACAGTGGAATAAGTGCAGAGTAGAGAAATCTGAAGCACAGATTGAATAGTCAGAAGTAAATGACTGAGTGGAGAGAAGTATTAGAGTTGACAATTGGGAAAGTATGGAATATCTGACACCTGTGGTGGAACAATTTGGAACTGAAAGAAGTGAGTAGGAACCATGTGTTTTAAACAACAATCTCTCAGGAAAGTCCAGGAGACCAGAGTAACTTGTTATGATAAATTGTGAGGAAGGCGAGTCAGTGATGTGGGATGTATCAGAGTGCAACTGGTGTGTAAAACAACTAGACGATTTGTTGAATGGACTACGGTTGATGAAATTGCTTGATATCGAGGCAGTACACACAGACGTTTCTACAGATATCACTCTACCCAACAATTGAATAAGACAGAATGACCGGAAGTGAAGTGAATATTGGTGGAGTATCAGTAGTGTCAGACAACATAGCAGCACTGAATCACTGCAGCATTGGAATCAGACATAGAGGAAACTGTAAACATACTCCATATCGTATTCAGAATGATTTGGTGTGAATGACAAGTGTTGAGAGAGTGGAAATAAGGACACTTTATCAGGCTACCGAAGAAAGCGATTTAATTAGGTGTGTGAACTACAGAGAAAGCATACAACTGACAAGATGTTGAAAGAATTCAGACAATGTTGTTGAATATTATGATAGATTGAGTAGACTCTCAATTCTGGAACAACAAACTGGAATTAATGAAGAAAGATCATGTTCTGACCAAATCACGACACTGAAGATCATTGTTGAATAACCATCAATTGAAGCACGCTCATCACTCTATGTGAACATTGTTGACTATGAGAAAGTGTTTGTTAGGGTGGATGGTAGGAGTTTGTGGACTGTTGTTCGATATGATTGAGTGTCTGAGAGTGTCGTCACCATGATACGGAATTCTCACAATGGATTACAATGAGAATTCATGCAGCTCATAGATCCATTCAAAGTGAAGATCGGTGTGAGTCAAGACTGTCTACTGCCAACGTTTCTCTTTGTTCTGATCATCGGATGGATTATGAAGACTCCGACATGTGAGTAGACGCACACAAAACATTGGACAGATTGGCTGTGACATGATGTTTGCCACTTTGCAAATGACTCGGCACTTATAGCACATACGCAGAAACAAATGTATCTGAAGCGAGGGAGTGCAGCAGTGGCTTCTATGTCAGTATGCATGGACATTCATAAGAGAAGAAGTGAGATGCTGAAATACAGTGCAGTAAGTACCAAGCGAATTGTGTTTGATGGTCATGCTGTGGAAGAGATGTGAGCACTTACATAAGTTGTCAGTATCACTGATAAATAAGGTGGAATTGATACAGTTATGAAGAGGAGAATCGGTAAGGAAAGTGAAGAATATGTGAACATCGAAACAACTGTCACACAACACAAATGTCGGAATTTTGAATACAGGTGTCAAGATAATTTTATTGTACTGAGCTGAAACTTGGAGAACTACTACAACCATCATAAACATAGTACATGTATTTATAAACATTTGTCTACTCAAGACACTCCTGATGCATTTGTTAGATGTCATCACGAATAATCGACTTTCAACCGTACAAATATTTTAAAATAGAAAACAAATAATTTAAAATATTTTAGGTGTACAACCACTATAACAAAGAAGCATATTCAAAATACTCCAGATCCATGAGTCGTCATCACGAAAGATTGACTGTGGCAAATAATAGATCATCTTCCATATGATAAGGAATAGTTTAGTACACTCCTGACGTTAATGTGCTAAGTTGGATCATCGTTAGAATAAATCTCCGGATAAGTCGGGAAGTATAATTACCTAAATGTCATGCACTTCGGACTTATATAGTTTTCTGACTGATTTTGGTCCGTGATGTCACCTACAATTTGATAAAATCTTTTTACACTTTATTTACTTTACAGGAATCATTTGGTCTACTGAGAATGAGTAAGTAGCTAAGATAGATTATTATAAATAATCGGTTTCTGTTATAGTTTTTGTCTCTTCATCGTCGGAAAGCTTTAAAGCAGATTTATTTCCGTTTCAGCGTTTAAGTCTAAATAAAGTTGTCTAAGAGATGTTAATCATTTTCCACTCTTTTTTTGATTGCTTGAATTTATGGAAAGTGTCATTCAAATCTAAGATTATCTTCTTCTGTCATTTTTTTAACCTCTGGTACTTCAAAAGTATTACCCTTCACCTCGGCTTTATTAAAGACATTTTTTCTCCTTCGGCTTGTTCAGTTATTATGCGTTCTGTGGATAAATTTCATTTTAACTTTAACATTTCGTTTTATCGTATTATAAAGCTTTTTCACAGTTATTACTGTTTTTGTGACGTTTATGATATTCTCGATGTGTACTAAATATTTTAACACCAAGATTTACATGAATAAGAATAACCTCTTATTATCTTGTTTAACAAGTGAAGGAAATTCTTCACTGAAACAATTATTCTTACTGTTTTGTTTATAAATACCTCAATTAACTTTAACTGACTGAATTCCACTCATTTTGAAATACATGTCTGTATGTACTAGGTATTTTCAGAATTACGTTTTCAAGGTTTTGTTAAGTTAGGTGGATAACCATGGATTGGTTTACGAACTTGAAGTTTCGAAAAGCAGAATAATTATCTGTTATTACTGTAGCGGAATAATGGGGATTGTTTTATTTGATAGTTAGCATCATGGACTGATCTTGTTACACAACCATCGAAAACCAGGAAGCACCATAATGCTTTTTAAATTTTAGTATGGTGAGGATTCGTAGCACCACCGAGGATCAAGTCCTGAACCTCCAGTTTCGTGACGAACGCTTAATATTTATATCACTGATCTAGAATTCAAGGGTTCATTTGTCGCGATGAGGCCATGAGTGTTATACTATAACGAGGTATTTACCTAGTGCTTTCTGGTTTCCGATGGTTATTAAATTTAGATCAATCTATGATGCTAAACGTAAAATTATCTAGCAATTTATTCTGATTTAATAAATAATCAATTACTTTCTGTAATAACAATCGTTTGCAGCCTTGTTGATGTTACTGTCACTAGAGAGATGTTACTCAACGAAACTGATGAATAATAGGGCAACTTGGGGATGTTGCTTACACCAAAAAAAGGATCAAAAAATAATATTTTTCAATATTATGCTTTATATAACTTTACAACGACTCATAGTTAGATTTTGGTTAAGTTTGACTGAATAGTATTTGTCATTGGATAATCAGTAACTCATTACACGGACTCATTTTTAGGGTTTTGTACGATTTACTTACTACAACTAGCAATTATAACTAATTTATTGAATTCTATATATGGTCTTTCGAAAAACTTTCCTCTTTTGAGTTAAAGACAGGTAAATAAGTCTTTTGTTGAGAATTAAATCAAAGAACCTTTACTTTCTTTTATAATAACTCCATTTATATTAGTTGGTTGAAGACTTTCACCAGAAAGGTGTGAACCATTAGAGTGGTAACTGACCTCTTGTAGGACAAAGATATGTACACTAATTCCTTATTGAGTTGTAATAGTATATTTTGATCAATACAAAAGACTAGATAAATACAACGTTGGTTACCATCCCGTAATCAGTTAGTGTACACTTTAATCCTAAACATTGACAATATTTATAAATACGTTGTAAAGTCACATTTATATTGTGGTGTGTGCTAATGATGTCGATAGATATAAATAATATGTATCACCAATCGACAGTGGGATGCTTGGCAATAGAAGGTTGAGATCAAAGAAAAGAGAATGAGAACAGAGAGTGATTGGTATAAAAATGAAGGAACAATAAAGTCTGAGACAATTGATAGACATCTTACAAATGAAGCATTTACTGTATGGTTCTCAGATTTTACTATGGGTTTCTGTATTCTCTGCTTATGTTTCCGCTTACTACAATATCACATCTTTACAAACATAATCAAACATATTGAAAATCAATACAAATCAATATAATATTTCATGAATTGATTTTATTTTACTTTTAATTAGAAAATTACGATTCTATTATCAAAGTTATATTCATTGGGTAGTTATTGTAGGGTATAAATTAACAATTTCATTGTAACCAATAAAGTACTATATAAGTAAACTGTAGTGTAACATCATATGTTTATTTATTTAAACATCATTTATTTAAAGTACTAAACAATGAGACATTTACCAATGATCACGTCAAACACGTTGATACTTGATAGTTGCTACATGCTGCTGAGATTTTATTGTCTAAAAAATTGAAAAATGAAACAACAATCAGTAATCAGGAGATTATATAAATATATATCACATGAATATAGTTTGTTATTGTAGTCTTTAGTTCTGAATGACGTCTAATGATAATATATGTGCGATTACTTACAACGATGTAGCTGGAAATTTTGTACAATATTAGTGAACCGACTGTTCATAAAGTTGTTGATAAGAATGACCGATCAAACCGAATTTATATATCTAGTGAACTCGGAATGTTGATGATTTGATGTTAGGTAGTCAGAAGCAACTACTGCTAAGTTCTAGACCTAAGTGTTTTAATACTTATTATTTATCAGTAAGGCAATATTAACTATACTCAAGGAGTTAGTGTTTGATGGAAAATAAGAATCTGAGCTATTCTGAATCCCAGTCATCGACGTTATCCATAACTTTTTTGACATCGATGCCTGTCAGGAATAGAGTGTTTAAATTAAACGTTATGTTAGTAGAAATCATGTTCATCTTGCCTAGCCATCAGGATAGGATTAATTCTATCGATTAGGCTTGCATTGAATTTAAAAAAACTTAGGAAAGAAATGTCAATTTTATTTTTACTATGATTAATTCTCAGTTAGTACATGGTTCTTGTTTAATAATACAGAAATAAATTCCCGCAGTTCTAGTGAGAAATTATGACTAGTAAAGTTCAGTCATATATGTAGTGGGAAGACTATCACCGATGTCAGCAGATGGTTGTCACATTGTATCCTGAACTGAAGTTGGAAATATAGACCATTGTGCTCTCTGAGAGATCTGAAGGTATTGGATTCCATCTCACATGAAGTCATGAATGCTCATCTCTGTGGAGCCATAAATCAAGACACAACAACTGTCAAATACTTCCTGATTTCTAGTAATTCTTTAGTCTGTATTATTGCATGCTGAAAATATGACGAATATATTTGAAGGCTTTTTGAGCCATGACTAGGTGCTATACATAAATTTACACAAATTTCTTTTTCATGTAATTCGCTCTACTTCCGAACGAGGATATTTCAAATTGTAACGTACATAATTATTTATATTGATCTCAATATTCTTGTGAACCAGTAATTCCATGTTATTTTGATAATTTTTAGATCAGACTTTAGAATGTAAAATGTTAAAATGAAATAATTTCATTTGTCAAACGAGAAATCCTATTATTTATTCATTTGGTATGGGAATATTCTGTTATATCTTTGATGTACAAATATTAGCTCACTGGAAATGCTAGTATGTCTGCAGAAAGTTGTAATAAAAAGAACTTGATTGAAAAGAAATTTCTTTGCTCGATTCGTTCCTTCTTTATTTACCAAATGTCAAAATGGGAATTTACACTATAACAATATTTGCTAAGGAAATACTCTTGAGATTACAATTTGGGGGTAAAGTTATCTGTTTAGTCATGATAATATTTAGTGTTATCAGATCGTACTCTTTAATCTACAATCGTTGGATTTTACAGGCTATTCAAAATCACTTTTTGTATTTGTAAATTACCAGCTTAACTTCTCATGTGAATCTAGTTACATCGATTGTACACTTGATTACTGTTATTGTATTTTCGAGCATCATTCATCATGGTTAACGTCAATACTTTATTCTTTGGTATTAAATTGAGTATTTAGAGTAATTTATCTCATAACATCCAGTTTACTTTATGACTTACAGATAAACTGTATATAACTTACTGACTCTTTGTATTCAACTAAAATTGCTCTTACTATCTTAGTTATGAATATAACAGAGGCTTTTACGTAACATTCCATTCAGTAGATTAAGTTAGATAAAAATAAAGGGAATTCAGTGAAGGAGATTTTCTTTTCGATGAAATCATTCAAGGTGTACATTCGTATTTGTAGTTGTATATACATCTAGATCAGGATAAAATAGATTGCATCATAAAATGATTCAAGACTATAGTTATCAAATAAGATTGCGTAATAGTCAAGGCGTTAAAGAAGAATAGGAAAATGAAAAGGATTTACGCGTAAGAATTATGAAAGATAGTTGGCCACTTGATAGATATGAAAAACACAAAAGATCATAATAATAAAAATTGAATAATAATCATGAAAAATTGTTTAAGGATAATAGTAACTAATTACAGTTTCAAATTACAAAACACTTTAAAATAATAAAAAAAGATGACAATAAAAACAAACAAAAACACACTACATAAGGGAATTAGGGTCAAGGAAGGATGAGAGGTTACACGTATCACTTTTTACATTCAGAGTTCGTGCTTGAGTTGGTAGATTGTCAATGCCTCAGCGATGTATAAGATTTTGGTTCGACCTCCCCTCGATCCAGCTTTTTTGACTGCGTTGGTTACTTTAAAAAAAGCTCATTCAGAGCGATGTATCCATAGCTGATTAAATGGTCCTGTATTGAACTAGTAATTGTTTTACATTTTTCTCTTAAAAGCCATAACGGGAAGTGTTCTGAGATGCGTTTAGAAAGTGATTGCTTTGTGCGGCCAATGTGACCTACCCCACAGTGACAAGTAAATTTATAGATGCACATTGATGTGACCCAAATCGGAAGGTTATCCTCAACACATCCGTGAATAATAGGCCGGCTTGAGGGAAAAATATGGAGTTTAGCCGAGTAGAACGTTTTATTCAGCGACTTTGAAATCCATTTATCCAGCAGCCGTATCTCCTTTAAATTCGATATTCATAAAAACAGTTTTCTTTTGAACTGTTAGTGCTTATTCCGGTTGTTATCTAGGGGTTAAGTTGGCCTACCATTCCTTTTTCCAAGTAGTATTTTTCATCTCTCTCTTTATTCTTACATAACTATATTAGTTAATACTTAGTCTGTTGATAAAGCTTTTCAACTTCTTACACTTACTTTCGCGATTTATTACGTAATCAATCAGTTTCCTAACGATCCGTTTTGATTTCTTTATTTTATAAGTTTGTTAAATTTTATAATTAATCTAATGAATTAAATTCACTTATTCTTTACTTGAATCTTCCCATTGATATTTAGTACTGTAAATGACCAGTCTGTTGTTGGCATATGTGCATCCAGTGCGGACTGCCTTGGTATTGCCTTAAGTCACAAGCTTTATAAGCAAAGATGGATGGTGGTTGTTAATGGAATCCACAACGCGCGGCGAATGGTATTGGATTCGAGTCCCGGGGTGTACATCAACTCCGGGATGCAGGAACATTCAGCTGACGAGTCCCGAATAGGACAAAAGGTGCGTCCTGGATTCCACTGCTAGCCACTATCCGTCTTTGATTATAATCTAATTAATTGTAACTTTTTTAAGATGACGTTATTGGTTATTATCTTCATGAGTAATTACAAATTTTAAATGAACTTACTATTATTTGACTTGTATGTATCTTACTGTTGATTGACTTTTGAAAATTGTGTACAATTCGATAGCAATTTTTTTAATCTAGCAAAAACTGAGAACTTTTCATGAAAACTGAATAACTAACTCATTCTACTTTAGAGGAATGTTTAGCACTACATACCTACGGTCTTGGATCGAGTCAGCCAAATTATTTAACAAGACAGTAGTTTATTGGATGATTTTTATGAAATATGTTTAGGTCTATAATATAAACTGAATGAAACTTAACGTATGCTGTATTGATGACTCAACAGCTTTATACTCTCTGTTGGACATAAAGATGTTATTTGGTTGGTATGTGATCTACTGGAGACCCTCAATCTATCGTTTGTATCAAACAGGACGCATCAGTTCCCCCGAAATCGCTGGGGAGTCGTGATCAGGAGTCCCGATTGTTAGGAAACTCTAGTTCAGGTTCTACTAAAAATTATCTTTAATAACCCAACACAGTACATACCGTGTTACGCTACTTTGACTAGTGGATACATCAGAATTTGATCGATAGAATTAAATGAGGACTAAGATCGGATGAACATGATATTTATCATTATTCAATAACTAATCAGTATAGGTATAAAGGTTGTTGATTGGGTCTCGTGTGAATTAGCGAATACATAATATTGATACTTCAAGTAACAGAAATAAATAGCTATCCACTTATCTCTGGTTCTCATCACTTCTATAATTAGTGCCATTTTGAGATAGAAATTTCCATCATACAAATTAAGGAGTTTCTAACTTGTATATTTGTTCAGATATATAATGGGTAAGTATTTGTATAGAAATATGCTTTTTCGACATATTGTTCTTCTAACTGATAAATGTAACTTTTCAGTTTATAAAACTATACTTATTCCAGAGGGTTTGTGTAGAATAGTTTGTATCTAAGTTGGTTTTCATCGTAGATCGTTATGAACTCTAGAATCTATTTATCTAATGGTTTATAGCATTTAGTTAAACCTGGAACAAATATACTACATATGAGTGCTCGAAAAATTAATTAGGTAATATCAGACATGATCAACTCAAGAAAAATGTTTAGGTATGAAGCGTTCACAATATGACTTTCTGCAGATATGATAAATGAATAAAATATACGTGATCTAATTATTGAGCTTATGTGAATTCCATAAAAAAATGTTTATGTGAAACCTTAATGATATACATTATAATGATGTACTCAGATTTATCTACATTCATTCATTAGAAGAATTCCTTTGTGAATTACATGATTTATTCAGTCGACTGTTCGTCAGCTAACGAAGAATTTTATACACGAATCAGAAATGTTGTGATTACGAAATAAATTTACCGATACAGTCATGTAATAAAATACACTTTTTATATCAATAATAGATTGTTTAGTTTGATAATCATGCCATATGATGTGATTGGTTTAATCTAGTTGCAAACAAATAATATCTGTTGTGTAATCTAATAAATATTAAGCGAATGTACGTTCTGAAGATGTAATTTAAGAAAATGTTGATAAAATAAATTTTTTAAAAATGACTCGTTTTACTTATTAGTAGTTTATTTACAGCCTAGAAAATCATTGAAAATAAACGTTTTCCGAAGTTAATTTGAAAAAAGAATTACAAGGGTCATTTAAAAAAAGAATCTCTATTACTTAGATACATTCGAAATAGAAGGGTTTTAATGTCATTTTTTTCAATACAACTCAAGTGTGGTTGGTGTTACTTGGATGACTATGAAAGTGTCAGTCTGTGACTTTAATACCACTTAACAATCTCTGCAAACCGCCTATGTTGTAGTGTTAATTATGTGTCCATTAGTTACTAATTTCGAGTGATAATTCGTGGAATTCTAGTAGTAAGCTATGACTGGTAGGTTTTATTTATGTCCAATGTCAGACTGTTAGCACCTGGAGACAATGGAAGGTGGTTGTAAAATATGGATAATTGATTAAAGTTCGACATGTAAACCCTTAGATTTTAAATCAGTGATCTAAAGATTAAGTGTTCGACGCGAGATCGAGGTTCTTGAGACTCAATAGTCGGTGGGAATGAAGACGTTCAATGATGAAAGCCCTATTCTATAACGATGGTTGTTTAACTAATATCAATTCATGATGTTAATTATCAGATCTACAGTGAGCTCGAATGAGCTAACTTGCAAGTGACTGAACTTTGCATTTCTAAAATAGTGAGATTATTAAGTTTATTCAATTATTATTTTAAAAAATGTAAAACTCACTGTCATCAGTGTGTCGCCATCAACTTCACGTGTAATGACAGTTTCCGTAAAGCCATGTTTTTGTACATGTACCATTTTCTTGTCTGATTCAATGGTCACAATAGCCTATTAGACAGGAAAAATATAGTTAATTTAGAATAAATTTTGAAACTAAACGAGATAATCACAGTCTAATTTAAATTTTTCGTGTTAATTTATTAACGGAGGGACCTGCGGACTACTGATTCGAGGCTATTATATAGAGTTTTAGCTGAATATTGCTGGGAAATCCTTGACTAGAATGAAACAACTATTCAATGTTTCATAGTATTTAAATATCCTCCACCTAACAAAGTCTGTAATAGAAGCTATCTTCAGAGTAATTAAACTCAACAAGTTCTCATGTATTATTATTTTGTAAGCCTTAAATTTTGTAACTACAAGTACAAATTGCTTTAAATGAACACCAATGAAAAGCCCGACGAATTTATTTTTATAAACACTAGACTTGATTCTCTCTATTCTATGGATTAAATTACTTACTTTTGAAACCCAGAGCGATCGTAAATTTCATACTTAGTAATTTCAAAATGAGAACAATTCCAATAGCTTACTAGGAGCTGACAATGATGTTGAGTGATAGAGAACGTTACTCTAGAGAAATCACAAAATGTATCTACCTATTATGTATATTGGTTATTCTTCGACATATTGTCATTAGAAAAAATGATTTAAAAAAGTGTAGTAATAAAATTTTCTGACAAGATAAGGATTCGGTCTTGCAAAAAATGTTCACAAAAATAGGTATTACGTAGTTCCCGAAACATATCATATCATTTGGTCATAAAACTGTAATTTAATGGTTTGCATTTCGAACATTAGTCAGTTCGTGATATTGTTTGATCATGATCGATTATTATCTATACTATTTATCTCACTTGGCCATTCATTATCTACTGATTTCTTGCGATTCCCCAATCGTTTGCCGTCCATGATGATAAATTTACTCCAAATTTAGAAAAATCATAATTATAGATAGACTTTGTATAGTTTAACACAGTTAAAATAATTAACACTTTCATTTGAATCTGAAGTAAATATTATTGCATAATAATGAATTCTGTTCTATTTTATTTTGTTCTCTTCCTATATCATCTTAGAATTCAATCTTATTTTTTTTTGTAAAATGGTTATCAAAGGTAAATTTGTACTTCACAAGTCTGGTAAATTACGTTGTTGGGATACACTCTACATTATATATGCAGACTCGGGAATAGAACAAATTACTGATCTAAAAAGTTAGTTGTCATTTTGAAAGCAACGATTAAAAATAAAAGAATTCATTCATTTTATGGATGATTATATTTTTGACTGACTGCTTAATTATCTTTCTAACTAACATTTATAACTTATACGTATTTGATAAGTCTTCTAACAACTCCAGGCTAAGTCTACACAACAACTTGAATATGAGAGAATAGGTGAGAGGTGTGAAAAAAACCCTTTACTTAAAGATTAGTTTATGTACAGAAAATCGAGGGTATTTAAAGTATTTCAGTCGGCCTTAAGCTTCTGAAGGTTTCTGAAACCCTACTAAAAATAGTAGTAAGATTAGTAACCATCCAAACTGAAGTGTGATATTTGACGCTTCACTTCCTAGATGTTTCTGAAAAACTTCTATTCAACGCTGATAGGATCAGTCCCTTATTGAATTGTATTTGGATAGTTAATTATTTACCACTATTATTATTATTTCATAAACAGATAACATAGAAAGATAAATAGTGATTTTTGTTTTAGTAAAAGAAAAATGAATTAAGTCTACTATAATTAAAACAACACATATAAGCGAACAATTGTTTTCAATTAGATCGTCATCAGGCTTTACTCTAATATACATAAATATTTATACGAAAATTTTAAACCAATCAATGGGAATCTTTAATACTATAATTAAGTCAATTTATTTTCGTATTTAAATATAGAAATAAATTTAATTAAGCTGTGGCGTAGGTTATTTATATCCATACAAGTAGTATATAACGGTGGTCAGACATAGAATGCATTTCAGTAGAAGGTCGATGAGGAAAGAACGGGAACGGAACGCAATTGGTATGAAAACGCATGAACAATGAAATCTGAGATAATGGACTGATGTTTGCAACAGGAAAAGTCAAGTTTGAGATCATGAATTGATATTTTGTAAATTAACGATTTACGATATTGTTCTCAGATTTCAGTGAGATGCTCTGTAATACGGTTGTCCCCATTGGTGTTCTGTTCACTACAAAGCTAACATATCAACTAATGTTTAGTGGTAAAATTGAAAGCAGCTGATAGTTTATGGAATATCTTATTTATAACTTTTTAAAAAAGTTTTCTTAAATTCACTTAAAATTGAATTTAAATTAAGTGGATGTAAACTATTGGCTATCAACTTAGTGATTTAAAGGTCATGCGCTACCTGGAGAACTTTAAGGTCTATACTTTGATCACTGTCCAAGCTATGAATACATACTACTGATGAGTCCTATATTAAGAAGAAGCAGTTGTCTATTGTTTCCTGGTTTTTGAAATTATTCAACAAAGATCAATTTGTGATATAAATTATAAAATTAGGTTAAATGATTGTTACTAAATTTATGGAATAATCACTATCCTTTTCAAAATTCATCCTAGTATTATGAATAAGTACTTTCAATGATACTGAAAGCTTATACTTTATCTAACAATGATAACCGTAATTAAGATTTTAGTTCTCTTTACTTTTGAGTAATCCACAAAGACATTTGTCTTACAATTGTATAAGTGTTTTATCTGATTTTTAATTACTTTTATTTTGCATGAAACAATTGATACCTGTGTGTATTATTTTAGCAGAATAATGTTTTATGAATCATTTATTCTATCACCTGATATTAGTTAATTTTAGGAACTTATGTGACAAATCTTATTCTATAGAGTAATCATTGCTGAAGAACATGCCACTTTGATGAACATAATGCATATGATGCGTTTCCTCCACAACATCATCAGTTAGCAAGATTGACATATAATATAGCCAAATTATCATTTTGATATCTGATGATGTAAGATTCAACGCATGACGAGATCAGTGGTGTACATCGCTAACGAGTTTGACACTAAGAGGAAATAACTGTCTATCAATTTTTTTTATTTTTTAAAATGTTCATCTTGGTGACGTTCGCAAACGATAAAAATTAACTTCAAACAGAACTAGTCATTTGATAAGGGATATTTGTAAAATTAATATTCAACAAACATATTTATATAGATCGTAAATTTAACACAGTTAAATCTCATAGAATAAAGTATAGTAGACTGTTTAAATAGTAGGCATATTTCTCGCTTGATCCATTCATATTTATTATATTTATGTAAAAAAAATGAGTCGTTTGTCTACCGAATAATGGTTCTTTAATGATGATCTTTATTAAACAGGGTTTAAGTGTTATGTATAAAATTTATGGACGAATGGAAAGAAAGCTTTATAATAAAGTTTGACACTAATAACATCGTTCTTGAAAAAAACCCCGCCAACTAATTAGTAAGATTTAATAAATCGATTAAAAACGGAGAACGAATTAAATGTATTACATTTTCGTGCCTTATTATTCAAGATTTGAACTAGGATCGAAAGTCTGTGTATTTATATCATTGAAGTCTAATTTAATTCCTTTCACTTAAGTTCTATAGTCATTAATTTTTAACTAACAATGGACGATACTTCGAAAGTAGTTTAAATTACTGAATAACTTCAGTTAGAAAACTATTGAAAGTTCAGAAATACTGTTCAGTTATTTTGTTCTAATAAAAAGTTTCTTAACCATATGTACTGAAAATCTCCACAAATAATTTAATACTAATAATAATGATGTGCTTAGTTGTGACTTAATTGTAGAAAAAAAATTTTCAGTAGTAGATATTAACTTTTCATAAGTTTCAAAGTATGTTAAAATAACTTTCCAATGTCTTAATGATTTTCAACTATCATTCCATCAGTGTCATTTCGTTTTAATAATTATATTTAATTATAAAAATTTATCAATGTAACTTTTCAGTATTTTGTTTCTATACAGTATAGCTTAAGAATTAAAGAATGTAGAAATTTGAATTTATTAAAGGCTGTACATTCCAAGTGTTATTTGTTATTGATGGATTGATTGTTTAGATGTCTTGTTGTCTTCAGCTTTATACTAATCATATAACCTCTCAAGTCTATATACTTCATCTTATATTGAGATGCATAGATGAATGTAACTGCATCTATATCTACGGAGATCTATGTACATTCAGTTGAAAAGTAAATTAGATGATAAACCGTTTTTAGATCTCATCCTCATTTAATATGAAGTAGGTATCTATATATAAAATGATTACAAATAACAGAATGACCGATTATTGACAATACAATGTTTAGATGATAGTGTTTTAAACTCACGAAAACAACAGTACTTACAAAATAGATATATTTCCCATTTAATTAATCAATTTTATTCCAACAGAAGGATTATGCAAAATCAACTTCAATTTTACTGTCATGATTTATTAACTAGAATATTGTAGTTAAATGCATGTTTAACTAACTCATTACTCGTAAAGGTTTGGATAATCCTTGAGAGAATACTTGCTAAGTTAGAAGGCATCATGCCTAGATGGTTAAATGGATAATGAGGTAACGTCTAACGAAAACAGGCATAGGGTTGAATTCTCAGTATAAAAGTCGATATTGGGATACAAACACATTTAGCTGATAAATCTCAAATAGGACAAAATGTATACCTAAGATCCCACTATTAACCACTATTTAGAAAACACAATGAATATTAACATTTCAATGAAATAAAAATATTTGTAAATCAATCATAACAGAGGAAAAAGATGACAATCCTTGAATTCAATTTTTTTTTAAAAATCTTTTTTTAAATTATTATTTTACTTTACTTACTCGAACGATTCGTCCATCAAATGTTAATTCTTCAACTTCTTGACCCAATTCAAATGATTGATCCAATTCTTGATCACATATTATCATTTTTATACGTACTTCGTTATCATCCAAATCTATGATCATATTTGATTTCATTTTATTGATAATATTATATACATCATTAGGAGTTCCTGATTATTTTTTAAAATTGCAAAATAAAAAAAATTGTTTTATATGTAATCACCTAATTCACTAGACAATTCTTCCACATTGGAACTTTCAAGATATTTCCATGTTCCAACTAATTCAGTCATTTATTAATTAGAGTAATAGCTAATATAGAAAGAAAGTTATAAGTGAAATAAATACTACATTAGATTGTTCGAATGATTTTATATCAATTTTGAAATTACGATTTATAATTTTAAAATGAATGAATTTGGTTGGATTTTAATTCATATTACCATGACAATTAACCTTGACTTATTAATTGAAATGAGGAAAAACATAAACATATATTCAAGTACGTTGTATGTGTGTGTGTATATATACATGATAGAAATGGAGGTTCACAATGTCTGTAATTATTAAACACTTAAATTTCAGAATAGATCTATATATGTACTAGTTTTATTCAGAGTTCATTTTAATGGATAAATGAATAAATATTTTCAAGGATTAGTATCAAACAAAAATATATTTTTATCATAGTCTTGTAAAGATTATGGAATTTCACACTGTACATCACAGGTTGACCTTAGTTATACAAGCACATTGTAAACCAGAAAGCAATAGATGGCTGTTGCATGTAAAATGTGGAATTTACAACACCTTATAATAAGAATCACTATATGCTTGCCAGTAACTTATTTAGATACTCAAATCCAGAATTCTAGTGAGAAGCTGTGACTAGTGAGCTAAACTGTGTCGAGTTTAAGATAAATATTACCAGTGACGATGGGTAATGATCACGCAATATTGCGAAACGATTGTAGCTAGATGTGTAAACCATTCGATATTAACTCAGTGGTCTAAAGGGTAAGCGCTCGCCTTGACGCCTAAAGGTTCTGGTTTCAATCCCTGTTAGGGTATTGGATGCACACTACATAGAACTCACATGCTGGAACTAAAGAGCTGTCCAGTGCTTCCTGGTTTTCACTGTTTGTCTCACTAAAATCCATTCATGATGTATACCATAAAAAATCTGTTTTTCACAAGTAATAAATGTAAATTTCGATGAATAGGGATATATTTTTCAAGAAATTGACTTAAAATCGTAGTGTATTATCTAAACTAATTTTCTTCAAACAACCTCAGTTTATTACAAGCAAATCGCCAGGGGTTGTATCATAAATGATGAAGTTCAGTCTGATGAGTTTCTTCTGAATTTAACCTTTAACACCTACTGAAATAATCTAGAGAACCACTTTAAAGCAAGAGGTCAGCCGATATTTCTCTCGACCCAATTTTGAACCCCACATCAATATACACTCATTGTGTCACACAAATTGATCCCACTGCCTTTAGGCCTTATGCTGAGCATGATATCTTCAGACATAACTTGGAACTCAATAATTCACGTTTCTAAAGTCAGTTGAGTTTGGAAAATTGTATGATATTTTGTAATGCTACTGATAAAGTAGCAAATCAGGTCTCATAAAATAGTTTGAATGAAGGAAGTGTGCACGAACAATGTGATTCAAACAATAATCTCTCAGGAAAGTCCAGCAGACCAATATAACCAGTTATGATAATTTATGAGGAAAGCCAACCACTGAGGTGGGATATATAGGAGTGCAACAGGTGTGTAGAACACTTTGACGAATTGTTAAATAGACCACCGTTGGTGAAAATGATGGACATAGAGACAGCACACACATACGTTTCTGCAAATATCACACTGCCAACAAGTAACAAAGACAGAATAGCCAAAAGTGAAATGAATATTGGGAAAGCATCAGTAAGACCAGACAACATGCCAGCTGAAGCATTGAAGCCGGACACAGACATATATACGGAAATAGTCCACACACTATTTAGAAAGATTTGGCGGCAATAACAGAGACTAGAAAAAAAGATACTTTAGGTGGGGTTTTGTTCTCCGAGCTAGATGATTTTGTCACGGATCATACTTTGGTCTTCTGAACAACATCTCACTTCTATATGAAGTTTGTGCTGGTGATTTTTAGAAAGACAATGAAAGCTCTACTACCAAACCACCCAGTTTAGAGAACAAGTTTCCACCTAAATTAACCATCTGAGCTACAAATCTCCATTAGATGGATACTTTATCAGGATACCGAAGGAGAATTCAGCAAGTGTGGGAAATACAGAGACATCACATTATTGTCAAGAAGTTAAAGTTTTCAATAGTGTTGTTGAATCGTATGATAGATTCAGTAGACGTTTAACTCTAGAAGAACAAGCTAAATTTAGTGAGCATTGGTCGACTGACCAAATCACGACACTGAAGATGATTGTTAAATGATCGTCAATCGTAGAACACTCATCACTCTATGTGAACATTGTTCACTATGAGAAAGTGTTTGTTAGGGTGGATGGTAGGAGTTTGTGGACTGTTGTTCGACATTATGGAGTGTCTGAGAGTGTCGCCACCATGATACGGAATTCTCACAATGGATTACAGTGAGAATTCATGCAGCTCACAAATCCATTCGAAGTGAAGATCGGTGTGAGACAAGACTGTCTACTGCCAACGTTTCTCTTTGTTCTGATCATCGGATGGATTATGAAGACTCCGACATGTGAGTAGACGCACACAAAACATTGGACAGATTGGCTGTGACATGATGTTTGCCACTTTGCAAATGACTCGGCACTTATAGCACATACGCAGAAACAAATGTATCTGAAGCGAGGGAGTGCAGCAATGGCTTCTATGTCAGTATGCATGGATATTCATAAGAGAAGAAGTGAGATGCTGAAATACAGTACAGTAAGTACCAAGCGAATTGTGTTTGCTGGTCATGCTGTGGAAGAGATGTGAGCACTTACATAAGTTGTCAGTATCACTGATAAATAAGGTGGAATTGATACAGTTATGAAGAGGAGAATCGGTAAGGAAAGTGAAGAATATCTGAACATCGAAACAACTGTCACACAACACAAATGCCGGAATTTTTAATGCAAGTGTCAAGATAATTTTATTGTACTGAGCTGAAACTTGGAGAACTACTACAACCATCATAAACGTAGTACATGTATTTATAAACATTTGTCTACTCAAGACACTCCTGATGCATTTGTTAGATGTCATCACGAATAATCGACTTTCAACCATACAAATATTTTAAAATAGAAAATAAATAATTTAAAATATTTTAGGTGTACAACCATTATAACAAAGAAGCATATTCAAAGTGAAATCTTATTACATTTAGCATTTAGAATAAATCACTCATAAGTCTTGAAATGGAGATTGGGACTCTGTTTGAATTTCTTGAAATCATCGAACAAAGTCATTGAGTTCTTAGTTATTTTCAGTTAATATTTTATTTTATAGTAACAAAGAGTATGTAAATTTATTTATTGAATGTATTTATTAACCTAATAAAAAATATAAACAAAAGTAACCTCTAAACTTTACCATGAAAATTTTAGTCTTCTGTGTTAGTAGGATGATTTAAAATCATCACTAGCTACTATCTAATGTTTTGTAACAAAAAATATCTCCTGCGTAAAACTAGACGTTTGTCTACTTAACGAACTCTAGATCTATTTGGAAGATATTATCAGAAATAATTGACTATGGTAGAGGATAAACTAGCTTTCAGCTGAAGATGAAATCAGGAGAAAACATTGGAAGTGGATAAAACATGTATTGCAGAAATCACTGGACTGTATCATGAGGCAATCCTTAACTAGGAATGTTAAAATGAATAGTAAATGATGCAATTCAGTAGACAATTAGCATTGGAACTTGCAGTCGTATTTATTTATTTGAACACATATATATTGGTACAAATATATATACGCCACACAAAAAAAATGAAAATTTAAAGAGAAGGAAAAAAAGTGAGGAGCGTAAAATAATGAACAATAACAACTACAGATTAGTGTAAGGAAGTGTAATAATAATAATGGGGGAAACGAAAAGGTACAACCAGAAGAAATCTTTCAGTTAAGGAAGAAGCAACCACTTTTTATGCAGAAAGTAAAAGAAGGTTACAACAGGATCGCCATTGGCTTCTATTCTGAGCCATATCTGATAACGTCTCTAGCCACTGTGTTGCACCATCTCTCGGACCTCAGCCAGAGAGTCAGAGTCGGACATGAATGGTATTTATGAAAAACTGGAAATGAGAGACTAGAATAAATTTGGTCTAAACTCTTTCCCTATTCAATCCACTCATACTTCATGAATAATTATAGACTTAAGTAAGTTATAAGTAGTATCTTTTATATTAAACATTGTCTCTACTTTATTACATTTATCAAATCACATTGATAAAATAAGATTTATTAGTTAATAAATTAGAAATGGAATGTCAACTTTTTAAAATTTATGAATAATATCATGTTTATAATAAATGCACAGATTCTCTTGTTTAAATTTTTATTACCATGAACCTTATCTCCTTATAAATTTTAATTAATTAATATAAACATAAAAATTTGTATTTAATTAAAGTATAAAACTGTAATTAAAATGTTCTGATTGATTTTGTTTATATTAAAGATAATATAGTAAACATAGAGAATTTGGTAACATGAAAACACACACATCAATTCAATGTGTATATAGTTTTTGTGAGAAAAAAAAACAGACAAACAACTGTACATTTAGTACTATTCTAATATTGATGATTAGAATTTTTGTAATATTTATAAAACTTGTTATAACTAGAAGGTTGTTCTTGATATACCGCGTATAATGGGAGCACTAGAACGCCAAAACCCTTCCAAGTCACAATGAGAAGACAGAAGACTAATGGAAGGAATATTATTCCCAGACAGTGTTAATTATAGTACAAAATTGTCAGGTATTTATAGTTTTTAGTAAGAACAAAATCATCATTACAGTCCTCCAATCCGTATACAGGGGGTTATTAGCAATGTTCAATCGGGAAGCTGCACATAGGAATTCTAGAGTATTCTTCCAAAAGGTGATTGGATGGAATATCTTCGGCTCCTTCTGAGCTTCCTACAGCTTCCTTGAGTTCACCCGTGATCCGTCCTCACAAAACTAATACTAGACAATATAATACTTTTGTTTTATTTTCTACTTATTTAATTAGTCTCATATGAGATTAGTGGAAGTAAAAGGAGTTTATTTATCACGGTTGTATACTACTTAAATACTCTTTAGTAAAGTATGTTAATATTAGTGTTCAGCTAAATAAATCATAATAAGTGCGTCTGTGAAACTTCGCTATTATTTGTGATGAAGCTCGGTGAAACTAAACTTTCATGAATCAATTTAAATATTTACTGATAACTGTTGGTGAAAATTTCCAA